AAGGGGGAAATTGACGGGGTCTGGAGCCTAGGGGAAATGTTCTCACAACTTGCAAAACGATCAACACGCCTGTTTGTCTTAGTCAGTGGTATTTTCAAGCAGCTGAAGAACTTTGTCGATGCTCCTGATGTTTTGAACGGATTTTTTCGAGGATAGGGAATGTATTCTTCTTCAGATGTAATGTATGAAGTCAGTATCAGTTGAAAATATATTCTATTGAGCGTGAATGATAATTTCAGTGTGAGAAAATGAGCCAAAATTGTAAGAAACGACGGTAAAAGACTTCGAGTTAAGTTAGATTTTACTTCTGGCTTAGTCAATAAAGGATTTATTACATATAAAGCAAAAAGATTTCGCTTTAGTAGGAATCCAGAATGAATTGTTTATTTTGAGAGTCGAGAAAGAAAGCCAGCTGTGTTTGTAACACAGTAAACCCAAGAGGGTCCTTTAATTTTACTTTGTTTTGACTGTCTTCTGCCGCCTCATTTTACAGATTTTTCATGCTGAACGTTTCAATTTTCTTTTACTTACACCAGAGGTTGACTCTTGGTGTTTTCGTTTAAAATGTTGCGCTGGTGATTTGTGCGCGGCTGGCCAGATTGATCCCCTTGCTCATGCTCAACGTTTGAATGCTGGTTTCAGTTGTTGTGCAGTTATGCTGTACAGCCAGAATACCTGGCACCTACCTCCCCAGCTGCGTCTAATCTTAGTCACCAGGCTCCACACTTACGACTGCAGCTACAAAGAAGATTTCTAGTGTGACATTCGTCATTCCTTCTCGTCACAAATGAGTCGATGTCTACGTCTGAAACAAACCGAACATATACTAGCTTATTTCCATCATTGACTGTACCTTTGTGGACTCCATTTGCAATTCAGGCTTCTTTTCGTTCGTTCAGCTACCACGCGCAATCCTTCAGCTATATCTGCAGTCATATCTGTGTCGCCACTATCATCGACGATACTATCAGGTCCACTTTTTGCGTCAATTGCATCCTGATAATCAACAGTATCATCCATTTCCAGTCCTGCTCTATATGCATTTTGTTTGCGTAATCCTCGGAAATTTCCTCTTCTCCTGGGTCATTTACTCGGTAGTTGTCTTCACCACCGCCGTTGTGATCTGTAACTTGTTCCAAGCTCACAGAGTGTTCGCCGTAGTTCTTAGTAAAATGTCCAAGGTACACGGTAGCTGCTGAAACACTTGCTGACGGACAGAACACGTGCTGCCCACCAACTCAAAGAGAAGAAACTATTTGGATGTCGATGTTGTACAAGTTTCCTGCTGCACACATTGTTTTCTGATCTTTATAGGTCCCATCTCGAGCCATACGAGTTAAATAGTCATTCTTCCTAGCAAGCGAACTCATCATCTGCTAAATGCTCCAAAAGAGCGAGGCCGTCGCTATCGCACGGTTTACTTTTTAGGTAGGCTACAATTTCCGTCCTCGTGGTTTTAGCTCGACTTACTCCCAAAAAGGTTGTCCCTCAGAGAGCAAGCCAGCTTCCCCGCACCAGATCCTTTCGTCCTTTCAAATTCCTCAACCCCTACTTTGGTCACCTCTGATGATTTTAACATTCGATGGCCTCGTAATATAGTGCTTTATCACCGTGGTCTTCTTTGACTGATATCCTTTCGCTGGCTCTCCAGTATCGCATAGCAGCTGCACGCATTGCTCTCGTCCGTTCCTTCATTGGTGGTTGCGTCTTGCCTTCAACCCGGTCAAGCAGGGCTTCATAGACGTCGTCTGCTAAAGCACAAGGTTTCCTGTTCTTTTCGGAGTTTTCACGACATTTATGGGCCACAGACCTATCCCACAAT